CTCTTTCAAATAACCCAGTCTTCCAACCATGAGAGATTCATGCTCACAATTTTAACAAAGTTATTCCAAATAAGGCCTCAAAAGTATTACTTTAAACAGAAAAGAACTAACTTCAGGTCTTAAGCTTGACTGTATCACTTTTAGCATGGTTTTGAACTGGTGAAACACAATGGCAGAAGTTTAACATGAAAGAAAAAACACAGCACAAGCAGTTTAGGTTTGTTACTGATAAAAGTTTAAACATTTACTTGGAACACCTTGAATTTTAATGGTGAACAACCTAAAACACCTTTTGACTGTGGATAAACAGAAAAATACCAGGGTTTTGATAAAGACAAAATCCTGGATACAGCACCAATCCACCTATTGATCTTAAACTCCAGATGTCCTTCACTCCTGAACAAGACCCCGAGATACTTAAACTCCTCCACTTGAGGCAGGACCTCGGCCCTGACCTGGAGAAGGCATACTCCTGTCTGACTCAAGACCATGGTCTCGGATTTAGAGCTGATTCTCATCCTAGCTGCTTCACACTCGGCTGTGAACCGCTCCAGCGAAAGCTGGAGATAATGTTCTGATGAAGCCAACAGGACCACATTATCTGCAAAAAGTACAAACCAGATTTTTTTGGCCACCAAAATGGATCCCCTCAACACCTCAACACCTTGGCTGTGTCTAGAAATCCTGTCCGTAAAAGCTATGAACAGAATTGGTAGTAAAGGGCAGCCTTGGCGGAGTCCATCTCTTACTAGGAACGAGTCCGAATTACTGCGGCCAATGCAGACCATGCTCTGACACCGGTCTTACAATGACCTAACAGCCTGTATCAAAGGGCCCAGTAATCCCATACTCCCAAAGTATATTACCACAGGGCCTCCTGAGGGATGCAGTTGAACACCTTCTCCAAATCCAGAAAGCACATGATTGGTTGGGCGAACTCCCACGCACCCTCCAGGACCCCCCTAAGGGTATAGAGCTGATCCAGTGTTCCACAGCCAGAATGTAACCACATTGGTTCTCCTGGATCCAAAGTTTGACTGTAAGACCCTCCACTCCATAACCCTACTAGGGAGACTCAGGAGTGTGATCCCCATGTAGTTGGAACCATCGACACATATACTGGACAATTTGTGTCCATAGGCTTGAATAATAAGTTTTTGTGCCTAAATGGGAGGTTCTCACCAACGCCATTTTGACCGTGTCACAGGTCCCGTTATGCCCAGACAATCCAGAAATGGGAAAAGAGGTGGAGCTAATCCATGAGGATTTGCTCTCTTCTGCTCCCATACCCTAGGGTGGAATGAGGATGGAACTGCAATTTTTGCCACTTCCCTTTTGGCTTCATATTTGCTGCAGAATTATGAGGGCTTGGTTGGAACACACTCCATGGTCCCACTTTTTACATAGAAAGACCACCACCCCGGTCTGCCAGTCCAGTGGAACTGCCCCCAATGTCCATGCGAAAGACAAAATTTAGCATGTCAACCTGGTAGCACTTCAAAAGACTCAGTTATCAGTAGAGGTAATAGCTCTCAGCTTCAGAAAGGCTGGTGACCTCCTGTTTTAGAATTTATTTCTCGCAGTCCAACTGCAGTAACTACAGTAAACAGATGTCCTCGTTTTTGAATGAGTCAGCAGAAGTTAGTTGCAGTTTTTATTTGTTGGCAACATCAAATTGCAATTTTCAGCCCCAAACTCTTTCTAAAATGAGATTTGGGATGGAAATAAAACACGCCACAAAAGAAATGTAATAATCTGAATTCATGAATCGGCTTAGCACAAAAGTCAGCCAGATGAGATGCTTCACAGACCTTTTTCCATTGCCAAAGAGGTGTCCTGCGGGCTTGTTCAGCCGGGCCCAGAAGCTTGAATGCGGCCTTCAGGGGCCGTAGGACTTTTTGGCACCTCAGCTTAGGTCAACGGTGTCTGTGGTGTGTAGAAGGAGGTGCTCTCCCGTAGTGGCTTGACTCCAGGTTCCTTCACTTCGAAATGTGGAATTCAGATCGCGGGTCCAAATTATCCAAACGAGATCGAATCAGTGACCGTGTCACAGGTCCCGTTATGCCCAGACAATCCAGAAATGGGAAAAGAGGTGGAGCTAATCCATGAGGATTTGCTCTCTTCTGCTCCCAGACCCTAGGGTGGAATGAGGATGGAACTGCAATTTTTGCCACTTCCTTTTTGGCTTCATATTTGCTGCAGAATTATGAGGGCTTGGTTGGAACACACTCTATGGTCCCACTTTTTACATAGAAAGACCACCACCCCGGTCTGCCAGTCCAGTGGAACTTCCCCCAATGTCCATGCGAAAGACAAAATTTAGCATGTCAACCTGGTAGCACTTCAAAAGACTCAGTTATCAGCAGAGGTAATAGCTCTCAGCTTCAGAAAGGCTGGTGACCTCCTGTTTTAGAATTTATTTCTCGCAGTCCAACTGCAGTAACTACAGTAAACAGATGTCCTCGTTTTTGAATGAGTCAGCAGAAGTTAGTTGCAGTTTTTATTTGTTGGCAACATCAAATTGCAATTTTCAGCCCCAAACTCTTTCTAAAATGAGATTTGGGATGGAAATAAAACACGCCACAAAAGAAATGTAATAATCTGAATTCATGAATCGGCTTAGCACAAAAGTCAGCCAGATGAGATGCTTCACAGACCTTTTTCCATTGCCAAAGAGGTGTCCTGCGGGCTTGTTCAGCCGGGCCCAGAAGCTTGAATGCGGCCTTCAGGGGCCGTAGGACTTTTTGGCACCTCAGCTTAGGTCAACGGTGTCTGTGGTGTGTAGAAGGAGGTGCTCTCCCGTAGTGGCTTGACTCCAGGTTCCTTCACTTCGAAATGTGGAATTCAGATCGCGGGTCCAAATTATCCAAACGAGATCGAATCAGTGACCGTGTCACAGGTCCCGTTATGCCCAGACAATCCAGAAATGGGAAAAGAGGTGGAGCTAATCCATGAGGATTTGCTCTCTTCTGCTCCCAGACCCTAGGGTGGAATGAGGATGGAACTGCAATTTTTGCCACTTCCTTTTTGGCTTCATATTTGCTGCAGAATTATGAGGGCTTGGTTGGAACACACTCTATGGTCCCACTTTTTACATAGAAAGACCACCACCCCGGTCTGCCAGTCCAGTGGAACTTCCCCCAATGTCCATGCGAAAGACAAAATTTAGCATGTCAACCTGGTAGCACTTCAAAAGACTCAGTTATCAGTAGAGGTAATAGCTCTCAGCTTCAGAAAGGCTGGTGACCTCCTGTTTTAGAATTTATTTCTCGCAGTCCAACTGCAGTAACTACAGTAAACAGATGTCCTCGTTTTTGAATGAGTCAGCAGAAGTTAGTTGCAGTTTTTATTTGTTGGTAACATCAAATTGCAATTTTCAGCCCCAAACTCTTTCTAAAACAAGATTGCTAAAGCAGCTGGGTTTCCCCCATAAAGATGAAACCTCCATCATGTAAACAACTTTTGGCTTGGCAAACAGGAAAGCAGATTTTATTTAACACCCTATAAACAAAATGAGATTTTTTTAAATGAAATATTAAATTTAGCTCTGTACAATTTGTTTTACACGTCTTTGTCAATCCACTTTCACTGTTTACTATTTCAACTAATTTTATTGGCTTTATTTGGACAACATAAAGTTCAGCATAAATGTTGTAACATGAAAAACATCGGCGTATTAACCTTCTATCAGAATTAATTTTATTTTAATAATTGGTGGGGGTATTAATGTAAACTCTGTAGCTGGAAGCTGGAATTTTTTTATTTGCCCTCAGGAAGTTTTTATTTATTTATTTATTTTTGTTTAATCAGAATTCAACTCACACTTCGCAGCTCCTGAAATCACAAGCAGCCCAAAGCTCCAAGAACACACAGACAGGCCTTCATTTTGTCTCTGTCTGGGTTTCTGTTTCAGCAAACACACACACACACACACACACACACACACACACACACACACACACACACACACACACACACACACACACACACACACACACACACACACACACACACACACACACACACACACACACACACACACACACACACACACACATTTTCCCATGGGGGGCTGCTTGTAGACTTAGTGCATTCTCTCACCATCTCCACCGTGACTCATAACCCGACTTTGTTCAAACTTAATGTTTACTCAGTTCCAACATTTACCCAGAAGGTAGATTTTAACCCCATAAAACCCATTTTCCTTTTCAAAGATACACACTACTGCTAATTTATGTATTTTACAGATGTAGCAATACATACAATTAATTGTAATTAGCCTTTAACTAATATAATTTTCTAATGTACTTTTTTATGGAGTAAAAAGTTTAGCAAATGACGTGCAACAATGGGTTTCTTCTTTGTGTGTGTGTGTGTGTGTGTGTGTGTGTGTGTGTGTGTGTGTGTGTGTGTGTGTTGTCAAACGTAGCAAACCCAAAACTGATCTTCACACGAGATCCTGCATATTGTTAATTAATTAATGTTTATTCAACCAAAACAACAGCAGCTCCATCGTTACTCATCAAAAGATGATCCTAGTTTAACCTTTTAAACCTGCTACATAAATTAATTTAATCATTCTGTTGTAAGAATTGGCTATTCATTGACTAGATGTTTAATTAAATGTTGTATTTTATTATGTAATAATATGACATTATGAGAATAATGAAAAAATAAAACCAAACTGCTACGTTTTCCACCAACAGCACCTCTGTTGGAGGTAGAACAACGCTTTATAAATAAAGTTTGATTTGATAAAAAACAGCAAGCCTTTTGCATTTCATTTATATATTTTTTCAGTTGTAGAGTAAATGTATGAGTGTTTTTGGATTATCACGCAGTTCTCTGTTATTATAAGTGTATTAAAATGATCAGCAACAGGGATAAAACTGTTGTTAAAAACCAGACCTGTGTTCATTTCTACCAGAGCAGGTTATTTTCAGACTCTGAGGAGAGAAGGGCTCATCTGTTTTGTCTCTAAAGCTGCTTTTGTCTTTTAGCGTGGGCGTCCCTCTACCTGTGCTGCTGCTCACCTTGTGTGTCCTCGTCCTGCCGTCGTCCTCCACCCCCCACCACGAAACAGGTACGCATCAGTTCCTCTCCGCCCTTGTCATTTTCATCTCTGCCGTCTACTACCGACATCTGCCATTCCATAAAATCATGGCGACCTCTGACCTTTTGGGCACTGCAGGGTGCTTTTCAATCTTGTCCTGTTGTTTGTTGCTTGTGCTGACATCATGCGTATTGCATCATGGATTTTTATGTAATGAATAAAGCAACATATTCAGATTGAAGATATCTAAACAAATATTTAACTGTTTGTCTCCTGTCAGATGATTCAAACCTTCTCCAGGTCACCATCCCCCTAAACCGGCCTGTGATCGCCGTTCTGGGGGGTTCTCTGACCCTACCCTGCCTGGTGTCACTGGCCCTTCCTCCGCCGTCCCCGCCCACAAACGGCCGCCATGCCGTGCTCTCTGTGCCCAGGGTCAAATGGACCATCCTGAGTGAGGGCCGGGAGATGGAAATCCTGGTTGCCCGCGGCGACAGGGTGAGAGTCAGTGAGGCCTACAAAGACAGAGCGTCGCTGCTCAACTACGCCTTCTCCCCTGCAGACCTCACGTTGCATCTGGAGAACCTGATGCAGAACGACACCGGCTTCTACCGCTGCGAGGTGCAGCAAGGCCTGGAGGACGCCGATGATGTGGCTCAGGTCAAGGTTAAAGGTGAGACACACACAGAACCATAAATAAAGTCCATTAAGAAGTTATCTGAATGTATTTTAGCTTCTGCAAAATAAAGGACTAATTTCTGAAATATTTTACATAATAGTTGTTAAAAATAGTAAATTGAATATTTTGATACATTTCATTTTCAGACTGATGACATAAGGATCTGACTAAATCTTGCCTTTGGCTCGTTTAGGTGTGGTGTTTCATTACCGTGATGCATCCAGCCGCTATGCTTTTACCTTTGAGCGGGCCAGAGAGGCCTGCGAGGAGATCGGGGCTGAAATCGCCACTCCAGAGCAGCTGCTTGCAGCCTATCACAGCGGATACGAGCAGTGTGACGCAGGCTGGCTCTCAGACCAGTCTGTCAGGTCAGGACCTACAGGACCCAGATCCTCTACAGTCTTTAGCTTCAGAGCTTTCAAACTGCATTTTCTCAGAACTCTTCCAGTTGCTTGATTGTTTTTTCTGTCAGAAAGGGTCAAAGTTCACCGCATCTGCCCGTCACAACTCTCACATTATCCAGAGAGGAGCTCATTTGATCTCAAACCAATTATATCTGCACACCCCATTACTCAGAGAAGCACCCAATTAAGTGTTGTTATTACAGAAAAAAGAGGCAGCTGGTGCTCCACTGAAGTGTGACCATCTGTCCACAGATATCCCATTCAGATGCCAAGAGAGGGCTGCTTCGGAGACATGGACGGCATGCCGGGAGTAAGAAACTACGGGCTGCTGGAGCACGATGAGCTCTATGATGTCTACTGCTATGTGGAGAATATTCAGGGTAAAACTTCAGCCTCTTTTATTTTGAAAAGCTTCTTTTTATTGATATTTGCATGTTAGAATTCCAGCTCATCTACTAGGGTTACACAGAGATTTACTTTTTTTGGTGTTTCCCTCTGACAGGTGATGTGTTTCATGGCTCCGCCCCCCAGCGTTTCACCTACTGGGAGGCCAAGGCCTACTGCGTGAGTCATGGCGCGGAGCTGGCCACCACAGCTCAACTCTATGCAGCCTGGAACGACGGCTTGAACCTTTGTAGCCCCGGGTGGCTGGCAGATGGGAGCGTGCGCTACCCCATCGTCACCCCTAGAGAGCGCTGTGGTGGTGGTGAGCCTGGAGTCAAAACTATCTATCAATACAGCAACCAGACGGGCTTCCCTGACATTCTCTCTCGCCATGATGTCTACTGCTTCAAGAGTAAGCGAGCTAAGTTATTCCACGTGAGGATCAGCGTGGTCTGAAGAGTTTCATTTGTGCTTTTCTCTCTAGGTGATAACGGCGCTTACACCAAGTCTCCCCATGATTTTCTCGCTACAGAGCCAGAAGACATTGGCCAAGACATTGTTTTCTCAACGACCCAGGAGGATGTCAGTGTGAGCGACGTAACGCCAGAGGGGGCTGAAGTGATGCAACATGCCCAAACGATGAATCCAGTAGAGAAGGACGCAGAAAATCGTCCTGGGTTTGGAACTCCTCCATCCGAGCACCAGGAGACCTCATTTACCAAAGATACCTGGGAGCTGATAAAGAAGTCCTCCTTCCCAGATTTACTACAGCCGGCACCTGAAGACCACCCAGAGACGGATCAGGAACAGTCTCCTGTTACAACTCCAGAGCTTGACGCTGTAACTGTTGAAGACACGACAGATGTGACAACTTCAGAAGGTACAGAACTAACAGAGGATCCTGTTCCTGCTACTGAAAGCACAGGTTGGTCAGATGCTGCATCTGAATCTGATTTGGCTGAAGAGCACCAGGAGGAGGGACACCTTCCTGTTTCACAAGAAGACCACACAACCGATGTCCACTCGGCTCATCCTTCCTCAACCGAATCTGTTATAGGAACGCCAGAAGAAACCATCACTGACGTGGTTGAAGAGATTTTGAGTGTCGCAACTTCATCGCACTCTGATGAAATGAACGTCCCCTCCACCACTCCACCGCTAACGTCTTTTACTAGCAGCACTTCTGAGACCCATCCAACAGAGGAGGCATCTGAGGAGGAGACTACAAATCCTTCGGACGAGGATACACCTGATTCTAGCACGCATGTGAAGGGTCTGGATATATTTCTTACCTCTGAAATTGATCCTACGTCAGAATCACGTGAGTAAATTCAGAAAAGATGATTATATCAAAGGTAAAGTGTTGCAACAATGATTTCACAACACATTTCTTCTTGTTAGAGGGGAGTTTTCCTCCCCGCTGTCGCTACATTCTTGCTTAGTATGGGGATTGCTGTAAAGTCATTGACACAAGTAAACATTTCAATTCAATTCAAGTTTATTTATATAGCGCCAAATCACGACAAGAGTCGTCTCAAGGCACTTCACATAATAAACTTTCCAATTCAGGTCAGTTCATTAAGCCAATCAGAAATAATGTTTCCTATATAAGGAACCCAGCAAATTGCGTCAGTGACTTTACAGCAATCCTCATACTAAGCAAGCTTAAAGCGACAGTGGAGAGGAAAACTCCCTTAAAACAGGAAGAAATCTCCAGAGGATCCTAGCTCAGTATAAGCAGCCATCCTCCACGACTCACTGGGGATCGAGAAGACAGAGCAGACACACACACACACACACACACACACACACACACACACACACACACACACACACACACACACACACACACACACACACACACACACACACACACACACAACATTTAACATGTTAATATTTTTTATGCATTTTTATCTTAAAATACTAAATGTTTCAGGCCCCCTTCCCCACATTTTAGTCTGAAACTCTGCAGAAGTAGTCCAGTAATTCCCGTTATGTTCCCTTGACAGGATTCGATCCCACTCAAGAGGGCTCAGGTGTGCTAGCAGAGTCTGTTATCCCAGTGAATCATGGTGATGAGGATTTCAGTGGTGCTTCAGAGGAAGCAGCACCAGATGATGCTGCAGAGCTGAGTGGCTTCATGCATCCAGCGGAAATCCCAACATCAGAGGCCGTCCAAATCACAGATGATAGCAGCATTGATGCTCTTGTTATACAAAACACCACGTTTTCCTCACAGCCATCTCCAGACTCTGTGACCCTGCGTCCATCTTCCGCAGAGTTTCATGTCAGCCACCCAGAAACTGCAACATTTCATCCAGACAATAATAGTTCATCTGCTGTAGAACCTCTGGAGGAGATGCAGAAGAAGATTGATCAGGATGGATTGGTCTTTAGTACAGTTCAGAGTGTCGTAGACCACGATCCAGCAGGAGGAAGAGGCTCCAGAGAGGAATTTGATGAATCTTCAGGAGAAACCCCACACATGACACCTGAGGTTCTCATGGTTGACCCGACTGTCTCAGCGGAGAACACGACTGACGAGACTGGTTCTAACACACCTCCACAGTCAGAGGCAAACGTCACACTGATTCCTCAAATGACCCTCACGCCCAGCTGGGAGCTGTTTCCTTTGATCCCAACGTCACAGGAGTCTCGCTCGGATTGGGAATACAGCGCCGAGGCTCCTGTCAATGAGAAACCTGAGGAGATCTCCAAGAGTCAGCATTTAACTACAGCCATGAGTCAAGTTCATTTTAAAGGTATTACAGAACAATTCAGATAATATTGGCATTAAAATGTAAAATTAGAAATGTTCAAAATCCGTTTTTACTCATTCATAGATCGCACAATATAAATTATGTGTGTGTGTGTGTGTGTGTGTGTGTGTGTGTGTGTGTGTGTGTGTGTGTGTGTGTGTGTGTGAATCAGCTGTCTCAACAGAACAAGAATCAGAGGAAAGCGAGGCAGACGCCACCACAAATGAGCCCTCGGCTGACATCTGCACCTGGCATCCTGAGGATGAGGACACGCCCGTGGCAGCGCTCACCACAGATGCAGATGTCACCACTGTAGCTCCCACCGTTCTCCTGGAGAATTATGGAAAGGACAGGGTGGTGCATACAGCCATGGGTCCATCCTTACCTGCTGAAAAAGTTCCTGCTGCAAGTCAAGGAGGTGTGTATGGACCGAAACTTCTCGATATCGTTTACCTGAATTCCAATATACGACAGGTATGTCTCGACATTTTTCCTCCTGTAAAATTTTTGAAAATTAACTCCCTTCAAGCTATCTTGAGAAACTGTTCACATAAATTTCTCAGCAAATTAATCAGAAGAGCAGCAGCTCTCCGTACCTGATTCCTGATTACACGGGGATGGCTTTGACCCATCTCTCCACACAAGCAGGATAAACCAATCTGTCAGCAGCTACTGAAAAGACTCGCTAAAACATGAACAAACGTCTCCAAATAATTTAAAACCACAAAGCCAAATGCAAAGATTAGGGCAGAACACTGACCCAGAGGTTTCCTGATCAAGCAGACACGTGAGAATACATGTAATGACTGCTTAGCGATAGAGCAAGCTGCTCCATATCGATATAAAAAATAATGAGTCATCTTGTTTCTTGTTTGAAATTATATCAATATTTTAAAATATCTAATATGTTGCCCGATTTTTGAATATTCATTTACTATTTTTTAGACGAGAAAGGTCTCTCTCTCTCTCTCTCTCTCTCTCTCTCTCTCTCTCTCTCTCTCTCTCTCTCTCTCTCTCACTCACTCACTATCATGGATTAACGTCTCTTGTTTTATTCTTCATGTATGTTTTCTCTGTTGTGATGGCTTGTTAATCTTGCATATTTACCGAACCACCTGTGAGGTGCTGTTTTTGCTGTTTTTAAATGCTCTTCATAACTAAACTGGTATGGTAACTTTTCATTTTGAATTAAAGTTTAAGTATAAATGGCTCATTCTTATACAAAACATCCCCTTTGTGTTGGATTAAAAGGTTTTATTAACACAAAATAGATGTGTTATCTGATTAAAGGTATTATGGTTTCCTAACAGCTGTTGCAGCTAATTCAACAGCGCCCTCTGCTGGTAACTCTTTATACATACACATACATGTACCAGTATTTATTTTATTACTGTGATGCAAATTGTGATTTAGTATATTTTTAGATAATTTTACTGAATACATTTATTTCTCTCATAGCCCAAGTTGGAAAAGTCTCATGAGGCAGCTACTAACTCGGGTTAACACACTTGTTTTGCTTTTTAGTGTTTGATCTGTTTGCAGAACTCACTAATCTCCTCATGCATTATTATACATATTATTCACTCTCTTCAGAGTTTACCTGTCCAGGTTTAAACTTATACATCCTAGATTTGGATTGTATTTGATTCAGACTATGTAGACAAATACACGTATCCTATTCTCTTGTGATGTTTTGCAGACTCTTGCCTGGAGAATCCTTGTTTTAATGGAGGCACTTGTCTAGAGGGAGAATCTGCCAGGTGCCTCTGTTTGCCCGGTTATGGAGGAGCCTTGTGTCAGACAGGTGTGGAAACACACAGATGTTCACACATTAGCCGTGTCCCTCTCTATGAAATAACATCAACAGCTTCTGTCCACTAACCCACCTCGTCTCAGATCTGGAGGAGTGTGAGCCAGGATGGGAGAAGTTTCAGGGATTTTGTTACCGTCACTTTGGCAGACGGCAGAGCTGGGAGGCGGCGGAGCAGCACTGTCGCTTGTGCGGAGGTCATCTCCTCTCTCTCATGACTCCAGAGGAGCAGGACTACATCAACGGTAAAAAAGGAAAGCAGGCGTGTGACAAGGATTAGGTTATACAAAATAATCAGATTTAAACCATTTTTGTCCTCGCCAGGCAAAAAAAACAATGAAAAAAGTTGCGTTTGTTGCATTTTTTTAAATTAATTTGGAACAATAGGAGCAACAGCACATCTAAGTGATTATAATAGCAGTAACATTAATGTTAGGCCAAAAATGATGCAACAAAATAATAATAAACTTTTTATTTATACAGTTTCACATTTTATAGGATTTATTTTGTTAGTTTTTAAGTTCAGTGCATTTTTAATTAACTATAGATCCTAAAATGTGATTTACCATTTAGTTAAAGTTAGTTTTAGTGTTCGTTGTTGTCCAGCTCAGGAAAATCTTTCATGTTTCTAATTAATAAACAAAGGAATTAAAGCATGCATTTATGTTTTCAGTGATTGGCATATTGTTTGAAAATCCTTTTAAAACCAATTACATATCTTTAAATACAGATTTTATTCTATTTAGCTAAAGTAAAAGGCAATAGAGCTTACTTTAAAGACTCTGGTTTGTTTCCAAAGATTTCCAGACCTACTCTGTTCATCACTTCCTCAATCTCCCTCACCAGCATTCCTCCTTTTTGTTCCCTTTAAAGATTTAAAGTGGGAACATTTGTCCAGACATGATCAAATGTAAAGAAAATCCCCTCATGTCTTTTTAGTGGTGAAATCCTCTGTTTTTCCTTCAGAACACATCACATTTGTAAAGCTGCTGTCTGTATTTTGTCTGGCGGGGGCGATGGGATGCTTATCTGACATTCCTCAGGTTTATTTATAGCAGATGGATGATATGGATCATTCTAAAACCGTGGCTGTGATGTTGGATAAGCAGCAACACAAGAACCATGAAAACTGTCAAATTAGTGAAAAATCAGTTCTGAATGTTTCTTTTAAAATGAGAATTTAGCTTTAAAATCACATCAGGTTGCAAAGTATTCCATAAGTTGTTTTACAATGTATTTGTGTTATTGTATCATTTGAATACATAAAACATGTTTTATTTGACATTTAGACAAATTCAAAGAATATCAGTGGATTGGATTAAATGACAGAACCATCGAGGGGGATTTCCACTGGTCTGATGGGAACCCTTTGGTAAGTGTATTTATTCATTTATTTTAATGTAAAACACATTGAAGTCCTTTTTAATCTGGTTTAAAATCTTGTTTTTTTTCCCCCCATTTCAAATAAAACCAACCATTTTGTGTTCAAATAAAGGATCAGAAAATAATGAATTCTGAAAAATAAAAGCATAATAAACAAAACTGAAAGTTAACAACAAGCTCTAAAAAAAACAAAATTAGATTTCTACAGTGATGCAGGCGTTGTACCGGTCTGTTGTGGTGAAGAGAGAGCTGAGCTGGGAGGCAAATCTCTCAGTTTACAAATCTTAGATTCCTATACCCTCGCCTATGGCCATGAGCTTTGGGTAGTGACCAAAAGAACAAGATTGCGCATACAAGCGGGTGAAATTAGTATTCTTCGCAGGGTGTCAGGACTTTCCCTTAGAGATAGGGTGAGAAGCTCGGTTATCTGGGATGGGTTCGGAGTAGGCCCGCTGCTCCTCCATGTCAAGAGGAGCCAGTTCAGGTGGCTTGGGCATTTGGTTAGGATGCCCCCTGGATGCCTCCCTGGTCAGGTTTTCTGGGCATGTCCAACAAGGACGAGACCCCAGGAAACGCTGGAGGGACTGTTTCTCACCTGGCCAGAGAACGCCTTGGGATTCCCCCGAAGGAGCTGGCCCGAGTGGCCGGGGGTGGGAAGTCTAGGCCTCCCTGCTTGGACTGCTGCCCCCGTGACCTGACCCTGGATAAGCAGACAACATTAGATGGATAGATGGAATTGTAGATGTCTATCCTCATGTAGAGAAAGTTTTTCAAATGCATTTTTAACCCTAATCTTAATTAAAGGGAGTAGAAACATTGATTTCACTCAGATTCTTTAGCATTTGCAATTTTCAATATCCTATCTACTTCCAATCAGCTCTATGAAAACTGGTACAAAGGTCAGCCTGACAGCTACTTCCTGTCCGGTGAGGACTGCACAGTGATGGTGTGGCACGATGGCGGCCGCTGGAGTGATGTGCCATGCAACTACCATCTGTCTTACACCTGCAAGAAGGGTGTCTGTGAGTTCTCCTCGTGTTCTGGTGTCTCCTTTTGTGCAGTTTTATTTTTAAATCATGCCCTCTGATGAAGTTGTCTCCAACAGCCTCTTGTGGAGAGCCCCCTCGGGTTCCTCATGCTCAGGTGTACGGGAGGAAGCGAGTGCATTACGAAACTGACAGCAGGGTACGGTACCACTGTGAGGAGGGGTTTGTGCAGAAGCTAAACCCTGTTATCAAATGCCTGCCTGGCGGCCAGTGGGAGGAGCCTCTGATTACCTGCTTGTCAAGTGAGTTACGTTTTCTGACCATTTTTGTGAATAAATATTGTCATTAATTCAAAAATATAATCACAGGAGGCCATTTAATCAGAAATTAGCAAATATCTAAATTTATTTTAAAGACCAAGAGAAACAGTTTTTTACTCGGAAAACAGTCTTCCATTCATTTCCTTCATTAATCGCCGACAGAAAATAGACAGGGAAACACTCAGATAAGAATATCCAGTCAAATATACATCACCCTGGAAATTAGCATGCGTTGACTCACTCATTTAGGCTTATGGCATGGAAGGTTGCTGTTGATTTAGCATCCAGGAGAGAGTAGACCGCGTCTCGGTTAGTAGAAGCCACTCGTTAGCAATAGCAACTCCACAGGATGGCAGAACTCCTCCAGTCTTGTGGTATTTGTGGAGATAAAACATCAACGTTGCAAATCAAAAGTGGTAGAGTCAGCTTCAAGCTAGGAATCAGAAAAGAGATGTTCGAATATCAGGAAATAGCCTAAGACTCAAAATCCTGCTGTTTTCAAGCTGGGCGTACACTGTGTGACTTTATCATTCATTGCATCCAGCTCCATCTCAAACTGTATGACTATTTCACAGAGCAATGCTCATGATTGGGATGGCAACACTCTAAACAAAACAATGCTAAAAATTGTGTTTTTTACACATTATGTTGGACCTCTGAGTCCAAAACCCAAAAGACCCAGAGACTGTTGTGTTGTTTTTTATGCCTGTTGTCCTTCAGGCTTCAGGCGTAGGAAGACATGCAGGGTTTATGGGTGTTGGAGGAGGAAGACGAATGACAGGAAGTGAAAGGTTATTTGACATTAACACTTCAATCACGCTTTCTCACTATTTGCCGTTGTGTGCGGAGAAAAGTGTAATAAAGAAAAAGCGGCGATTTGTGTGGACCATTGACTGTTTTTATGAGGCGTGGACACGGAAATAGCTGGACAGCTATGTTGGCGCATGCACTGTGTGAGCGTTTCTGGCACATTAGGGTCGCAGCGCTGCTTCAACAGTATGATACCCTCACGAGGGATGAGCACACAAGTCCCAATTGGGAGCTGGTGGTGAGGTGTTTTCTTGTTAGCCCCAGTAAACTCCATGATGCAAGGCTCAAAACTCGTCCCACCCTCAAAGTTACTCAGACATAAAAATTGGCTCAAAATGGGCCAAAAATTGTGTAGTGTAGACCCTGCTTAACTGCTAGTTCCTGATGCAGGAACGCCAGAGCTTTTTTTCCCACTAACATTGAGTCATTCATTTATACTAGAGATCATTGTAAATGAGAGTGAACTTGGTCTTTATGTTTTGTTGTCATTTTTGATAATACTGACTGCAGTATAAATGTTACTTTTGATTTCTTCCACATCTAGCACAAACATTAGAGGAGGATCCCGTTACTCCACATCCCGGCCAGCACGAGGAGGTCACAGGCGCAGCTGCGGAAAAAGCAGCTCCACTCTTTTGGGACATTAAGTGGAATTTTTAATGCTATGCTGTTATTTAATAGCATAAAACAAAACACAAAAGCTGTTTTTCCTCATGTTTTATTGTATTTTTCTCAAGTTTCAGATGTGTTTGCCTGTAATGTTTCCACATGACAACTGACTGAAATAATCTGTATCAACAAAAGCTGAGTCATACTCTCACAGAAATCCTGATGTCAAAAATGTGTTGCAGGTTCAAGCTAGACTACAGAGTTTTGGATATTTTAGACAAATCTTTCCATTTAGCCATTAATAATAAAATAATATATATACATATATATATCGCCTTGGAGTATTTTCATATAATCAGTAATTCATCACCACAGACGTCAACTCTTGTTTGGGAACCACCGTTACTTGGATTTAAAGAATGTAGCTGATGAATGCTTAGAAAAGATATTTTTCTGTTTTTATTTTAATGACCGTGATATGTAATATTAAAATAGTGGGATATTTTATTTCAAGTAAGATATAGGTACAATTATCTGAGATTATTAGAATATTTCAGCACTAATGAACACATAAAAGTTTATGTAATCAATGGTTCTGTGGCTGAACAGAACTTCAGTTGAGGTAAAAATCAAAGTCTGAACTCAAAGTTTAATGGTGGAATATGGAGCGTTTTAATAAAAAGCTATGCTTTAAAAATACCTCCACATGGCATTTAGATGTGTGCAGAATGAATGTATAGTTTTTCCTTTAAAAGTTATATTTAAAAAATAATCAAATCTTACTTTTGTCGGGCACGACGCTGGGTTTATGTTTACATCTACCAACCACTAGAGGGCACCATTGCGCTAAAGCCAAAGTCCGCTCGGCAAGGCGAGGCTGGGACTGTGTGAAATGGCTGACTTGACAAGTCAACCAGTTGATTCTGAGTCCAGAACATGTGCTAACAATAAATACTGTTGTAAAATAAACTGATTAGTAGAAATTAGTCCTCACCCTGTACAATTTATCACTGGACATGGTGTTGGCTTGTCACTTAACGTGTCAGCAGTGAACCAACACCCCGACGGCTGGAAAATATTTTCGGTTGTTGCAGCTACCATCTCTAAACACTAGATGTCGCCAGAGTGTCCGTACCCCATATTAAATCTTTAATTCATAAATGATGAACACATGTTGTGTGATGTTGTCATTAGTTACTGACCACTTTGTGAAATATTGTCTCAATATTCTCTCTCTCTCTCTCTCTCTCTCTCTCTCTCTCTCTCTCTCTCTCTCTCTCTCTCTCTCTCTCTCTCTCTCTCTCTCTCTCTCTATATATATATATATATATATATTTGTCTAATTAAATATATATATATATAATTATTTTTTTAAATATACATATATCTGCCTTACCAAAATTTCATGTGAGCGATGCAGTCCTAACTCACATGGTATAACCCTCAGATCCCTTTATGTGTTTGTATTTTCTTGCTTATTTTTTTATTAGTAAGAAACAAGAAATTTGTGTTTATTTTCATCCTGAAATGTTCAGTGGCCAGATCAGGCAGGAAAACAAGTGTTTCTGGGCAATCTTTCTGAAGAACACAAACAGCAGTCGTCTGTCTATCATTCGACAGGTTTTGCTAACTAGAGTTTGCTGGGTCTGGTCCTGCTAACGTGTTCATGCAGTCATGCTGTAATGGCTGCGCTCACAGTCAACAGGTCCGTCACATAAACAGAACTCTCAACAGAACATGTAAAACAACTTCTTAAACAAAAATTTCAAACAGAATGGGACATTTTACCCATTGCACCAGGAATGCGTGATTTGTGCACATATGGAGAGGGGAGGGGTGGTCAGAGGGCAGTTTGACTGATGTGTTATGAGCCAATAATTTAGATGGGATGTTCTCGATAACTCTCCGTGATTCCGCTTGTTTATTTGTACTTTTTTTTCCAGGCTTCTTTTATATTCCAAACTGTTGTTTGTTCAAATTAGCTTTAAAGGGACCTGGTTTATCCTCAAGTCTGCTACCACATTAAAATTACAGTTTCATTCATCCAAAACGAATAAAAAAAGACATGGTTTGGCCTAATGTGACATAAATAATGTCTGAAATCACATACTGAAACAGAAACTACCCCTTAAAAAGTCAAAACAGTTTATCATTTTGTGTGTAAGCTTAAATAATTCCACTTCAGTGTTGTCTGTTGATTTGACTTGTTCAAAGGATTGTAGTTACTATGATAGCTTTTCCTGTGAGAAGATTAAGCTTCTCTTTAATGTTTAATAAGTAAAACTTAATCCCAATGATCATTTTTTACCTGTGTGATAAATAAAATTAGTAAAAGTGTAAAGATGCATTCTAATTTTGTGTAAAAGTATTTTCTCTTAAGGAGCAGGTAAACAATTTACAAAACTACTTGCAAAAAATGCATAACATTTCTCTAATAAAAGTATAAATGTGCAAAAGTTTTACTTAAATCAACAGCAAAAAATCCAATGAAAGGAAATGAGAAAAAACAAACCTAAATATGTTTTATAATAATATTGTAAGAATCAGTGGGAGTATATCTTGAACACAATCAGTCACACATGTTGCCACCAGATGATGCCAGTCAGCTGCATTCTTAAACTCTTTTGTCTTTTAGCTGTTCTTTTAAAAATGACCTTAAGGTGACTTAGTGTCAGTTTCAGTTAAAACTTACCAGGAATGATAAATTAATTCTGTCTCATTTCAAATGTGATCAGTGACACTAACAGCAGATTCAAACTCCACCAAACAAATTGTCCTCACTAACGCATAACTGTGTATAATTTGCCTCAAATGGACTCAGGGTCTTGTGAAAGAAAGAAGAATATATATATATATATATATATATATATATATATATATATATATATATATATATATATATATATATATAAATCGGGAGATCGAGAGGCGGATTGGTGCTGCGTCTGCAGTGATGCGGTCGTTGTACCGATCTGTCATGGTGAAGAGAGAGATGAACCGGAAGGCGAAGCTCTCAATTTACCGCTTGATCTACGTTCCTACCCTCATCTTTGGTCACGAGCTTTGGGTAGTGACCGTAAGAATGAGATCGCGGATACAAGCCGTCGAAATAGAGATGAGGTGAGAAGCTTGGCCATCTAGGAGGGGCTTGGAGTAGATCTGCTGCACCTCCACATCTAGAGGACCCATTTGAGGTGGCTCAGGCATCTGTTCAGGATGCCTCCTGGTCTCCGGTGAGGTTTTCTGGGCACGGCCAACTGGGAGGAGATCCAAAGGAAGACCCAGGGCACACTGGAGGGACTATGAATGCTTTGGGATTTTTCCATAGGAGCTGGCCCAAGTGGCTGGGGAGAGGGAAGTCTGGGCCTTTCTGCTTAAGGTGTTGCCCCCGTGACTCGACTCCAGATAAGCGGAAGAGAGTTGATGAATGGATAACACTCAAGCCTCCATAAAAACATTTATGCAGATGGTTTTTAAATCTTATTTTTGGTTTTAAAACTAATTTTATTCATTCTGTTTCTTTTCTGTCACATGATTTTTGAAGCAAACTTATAAATGAATGCTCATTTAAATCTTTTCAACGCTTTTGATTGTTAAATGCTTGGTAGCACACATGTTACTACTTAAATATTATTGATGCACTAAACTTAGTAAAACAATTTAAATAAATAATATGGGGATGTTTAAAACACGATTAATCTGACATTTAATTAGATTTGTTGAATTTTTTTTTCTGTTTCCTTGGTTTGGACATTAAAAATGAAAATTTTTTAATTCAAATTTGTTTGGAAAATGTGGTGATTTAAAGTAGATTTGGTCTACAGAACATTTTTCTCACTTGTTAAACAAACCTAAATTTAAAGTGGACATATTATGCAAAACTCTTCTTTTGTGCTGCCATTTAAAAGAAACCCACACATGTCATGGTCTGTGTCTGCGTCTCCCTCATGTGTCTCCTTGTGTGCTCCATTCCCCTCTAAGAATCCCCCTTACGTGTCTCTTTGTGTTCCTTATGTGTCCCCTGGTCTTCAGCCCTCTAGATCATCCTTCCCAGGTCGTTTGTTCCTTCAGTCATCCCCAGCCCCTCCAGGTGTCCCTTCACGTTCTGAGTCCTTGTAGCTCCAGCATTTTTTGTCCCTAGCTCCCTCCTGGTTTTCTTCATGTTCTCTTAGTCTCCCCACTATAGTTTCTATAGGTCTATTATTTCAGTTTTGTGTGTGTGTGTGTGTGTGTGTGTGTGTGTGTGTGTGTGTGTGTGTGTGTCCTTCTCCAGTTAGGTGTGTGTGTGTCCTTCCCCAGTCAGGTCTGGTGTCCTCCCCTGCTCCTCCTCTCTGATTAGTTGTTGCTTTCACCTGGTTCTTTCTCCACACACCTGCAGCCCATCTGCCTCCCATCATGTCCCAGTGTATTTAAGCCCTGTCTGTGTCTCATTGTCTTGTCAGTCCATTGTGTTGTTGTCAGCGTTGTTTTGGTGCTCTGTGTGAGCTTTGTGCCTCGTCCCCAGGTTTTGTGCTCTAAGTGAGCATTGAGTTCTAGTCTCCAGGTTTTGTGCTCTATTTGAGCGTTTGTTCTCCTAATTCAGGATTTTTGTTTTTGGCTTCCTGCCCCCTTTGGATTTTTAGTTCATCATCCTAAATAAAAGGATTAACTTTTAAACCGCTCCTGCCTCGTGTCATCTGGGGTAATCTGCATCTTGGGTTCTAACCACCTCCTTGCTCTCGACGTGACAACACATCTGTTTTCTGTTAGTGTTTGGTTTTAGGAATTACGTGCCTAAAACAAGCCGTTTCAAAAGTCCCTGTTTGTGACATCACAAATGAACCACCTCTCATGCAAGAAAGAGCGGCTGCTGGAAGAGCAGTGGCGGCTCTACTCCGAGCCTCAATGGGAACTTCTAAGCTTATAGCAGCATGAGCAGGGTATGGTGGGCGTGGCCCTCTCCAGCTTGTTTGATTAAAGTGACAGAACCCTGAAACAGCTCATTCTGGTCGGTACTGAAATTTCATAAATAAAACTGCTGAAATTCTTTTATGTGTGAGGGATTTAGTGCAAAGAACTTCATAAACATGTTTTCATAGAACTATTTCAACTTGAGAAAAATGCCATATTATGTCCCTGTTTGCTATAAATTAGAAAATTTCTGTGTTTTTCTAGATTCAGACTGAATGTTACAGCATTTGCAAAGATAATCCCACAAACCTTAAAAACAATCTGCACATCATTTATTGGCAAATTCAAAACTAGCCACATACACATATTAACTGAATGAATTACATGTCAGTATTCACCTTTAATAAATGATTTAGCCGCTTAGATGAGTTCACATCAGAAAGCAGGTCGAAAACATGTTAAATGGTAACATCAGCAGATTTGAAGGATGTTTAATAAATCAAATAGAAGTTGATTGTGCATGTTTAACATGTATTTGGTTGCATTTTGTTATTTAAACTCAGGAGTTTTCATGGTTAGAAGGTTGTTTCTATATACACTCTGTTTTGAAACCTTTAGTTACCTATAGCAATAAGCTCCGTAAAGATGTGTTGTTTTGCTGAGGAATCCAAACGAGCGCACCCCGGCTTCTGGGATGCCTCCACAGTTTCTCCTCGGGTTGTGTATAGGAAAGCGTACACTGCCATCTCTCAGCCAACCGCCGTTACACTGGTCGTAGTTCTGGAAACGCCACGCGGCATAAAGCTGGCCGACTAGTGCCAACTCAGAGCTCTGATCTTTGCATGCATGATCTGCCTGATCGAAGGAGAATGACCCAGATATGTAGAAAACAGAGCCTGTCACACAGGAATGATGGGTGAAAAGTCAAGTTAAAAGCCTGCTCTCCTCCTTATGGTCTACATTATACCGCCTAGCTTACCAGGTGTCTGGGAGGTGAAGCAGAATGCATCAAAGCGATCACGTTTCTTATCTTTTGACCCATAACTACGAATGCCCGGAGGCAGATCTCCTCCACAGACGAGTCTGGGATGAACGATGGGATAATGAACGGTGCCATCAAGAAGCCAACCAGCGTTACACCAGTCCAGACCCTCGGTCCAAGCTGCAGGGTGAGACAGGCGGATGTGACAGAGCCAAACCAAACACACTAATGCTTTAGGCGACTCGTGGAACCTTTGTAGAGCTGGTTGTATGTGGCTAACATGCCATCCTGCTCAGCGCAGGCCTCCTTGGCTTCATGGAAAGTGAACCTGTAGCGCCCATTTCTACTTTGATACGGGAAAACCACACCTAAGAAAAGATTCATTTTGTTTGTCCAGCTCCAGTGCAGGTACAAGTACAGTTTAAATAATCTAATTACCTTCAATCCGCAAAGTAATGACGATGTTTTCGTCCTCTATGCCATTTATCAGCTCACAGCGATACCTGCCACCATCTTGCAGCTCGAGATGAGCGAGCAGCAGGGAGGCGTCCATGGTGTGAGCCCTCTGGAGTGATGCCCGCTGACCCAGATGGCCGTAGGGCTTGAAGAAATTTGCATTGGATATCATGATGATGTTCTCCAGCCCGCTGGGCTCAGGCTCCAGCTTTGTCCATTTAACTTTGTAGTGACTGGGTTTGGCTCTGAGGATGCATGGCAAGGTGGCGTTGTCTCCCCTCCGAGCAGCGACTTCTGTGTGGACAGGAGGCTCGAGAAGATACTGAAGCCTCCTAGGTGTGGCTGCTGCTGAAGGTAAAACAGACTTCTCATGATCCTATAAATTTGATTGAAGTGTACCTTAATGTTCTCAGAAGCCTGACTGACTGGATCATTTTCCTCTACAGAAACCACAATCATCACCAACAAACCAGGACTCAGTTATGAGCATGTTCCTGCTCCAAGGTCGGTATTAGATTGTTTAGGACATTAGAGCGCTAGAATAAAGGTCTGAATGTTTTGAGCCCATACAGAGTAGAACGGTTCTGCAAAGCTTGTTACATACAACATTTGTACGACATTCATAGAGACTAGCATCCATCTCATATTTCATGTGATAATAATAAATAAGCATGTCTACCTGCTGTGTTGGAGACATAAAGTGATGACGACCAGATAAAACAGTTTGATGTTAATAAAAGGAGCACAGCACAGTTTATTGTGAAGGGTTCCATTCTCTCCACTCCTGGAATTAACAGGAAAACAAACAAAATAACTAATTTCATTCACTATTATAATGTTGTTAGAAGCATCTGCTGTTCATTGACTTGACCAACCTGTGGGTCCAGATCTCCTCTTATCCAGAAAGAATGTCCAACATGATGAAGAAGTCTTTAAATTCCTGGATATTCCACAAGTTCATTCATCTCTGCTCTTTATTTCTGTCGGTTCCTTTATGTGAATACTGGATGTCCGTCACTCCCACCCACTGCTGTCCTTACTCTGGTCATATGGTTCTGTCTGTGATCAGCAGTAAACAGGACTGTTGTCCTCTCCGCTCCAGATGTTAACGACCAAACACTAACAGGGCTTGTTTATGTCTCTTTCCTCTTGGTGTTTCTCACAAATCAAACTCAAAATACAAAACAAAGAAAGTCTAACAGCCGCACAGGATTACAAACACTGAGCATTTTTAGGGGAGCAATAAACGCATCTCTAATTGATCAGAAACAGGTGCAAAGTTAGCTCAATCTTGTAAATGTGTAAACAGGCTGATTCGCTATGAAATTATAATCACTCTGATCCACATTTCTTCTTTTTGTCACAATAAAAAAATCTGCTTGCAGAGCATTAAAGGAGAAATATTCTGATTTTTGTTTAAGTTGAATGGTTTTACGGTCGATACAAACATGTTCCTGACGTTCTTTACACTAAATCCCTCTCACGTAAGTCATTTCAGCAGTGTTTTTCTGGACATTTTCCAGAATCAGCCATTTCAGGGCTCTGTCACAAACGAGCTGTCGGATATCCGGGAGGAGCTCCGAGTAGAGCCACCACCATTTTCATTCATTTTCTTTTTTCTTGCTTTTTAATCTTATTTTTTTCCTCCCAGTTTTTATTATTATCTTTTAAAATCCCCATTTTCTTCTTTTTCTTACACATAATTCCCTAACCAAACAGTGACAGAAAACCTTTGGAAGAGCAGAGGCAGTAGAGATCCACATGGCAACACAAAATTATGCAAAAAGTGAGTTTTGCATAACATGCCCCTTTAAATAAAGCTGCATGCTACATTAGTTAATACTGGTTGAGCAGGTCATTGATTTATTTAATTCTAATTTAGAAACCAATCTTCTTGTTTTCCAGGGAGAGGATGAGAAAACTTGTAAAAAGTAAAACATCAGCTAGAAAACATTCTGTCTACATTACAAAACAGAGTAAAATCACAGTTGTTAGACATGATCTGGATAGATCACTTATGGAAGTAATTAATGTAAAAATTTTCACTTTTATTCTCAAAAAGAGCCATCAGATAGGTCAAAGGTCCTTTTACAAAATGTAAGTTTCTTTTACAAATGTATGAAGTAAGAGAAAGAAAACTAAATAATCCACAAATGTATAGTAACAATAAAATATGCTTACATACACATAAAGAATTAAACCACAACATGACTGTTTTTTAAGAATCTATTTACTGAATGAGCTGTGCTGTCAAACAACACATTGAATACCCTACAGTACATTTATGCAGACAACAAGCCTGTCATTGCTTCCCTGCTTTCCTCTGATGCCAAACACCACTATGGCGTGCATTCAGCCATCTTTGTTTTTCCCCACATGGCTGCGGGGGCACTGGGCGCCGATGCTGCGCCGGATCTAGTTTCCTCCACCGCTCTCCCCTCCAGACACAAGGGCGACATTGTAAGGATGGCGGTTTCCTCACAGTGACAGCAGGACACACAAACACAACCCAATGTGGAAAAAAGATGCTATAATAGGATTCCTGTGTTTTGTCCCCATTGTGCTCCGTCATCAATGGAACTCTGTCTTGTCCTACGATTAGTATTCGGACAAACACCTCTAGGTGACAACGGGCCACTGTTCCACCAACAGAAACCAAATAAAGTAATCAGTAGTACTTTTTAAAATGCTTTAGGCTCTACTGATATTTCATATGGATCACCACAAATTCCATCTCAAATGTTTGCAGGCAACAAAAGGACAAGCGTGTTAACTCCTCCAGGAGGACAACAGGAGTTGTTTGAACAGAAACAAACCTCTGTTTTATAAATATCTGTAGAGTTGACCGTCATTGGTAAGGTTAAATTCTTCCAACAGAACGAATCGAGCTCCTAATTAAAACACGATGCTTTCTTTATCTTCTTATGATACAAATTATGGTAGCAGATGATAAATGTGGTGTTTGTACTGAAACCAATGATCTTTTAAAAATGTGTTTTATCTTTGTTTCTACAGCACAGAGCTCATCTGTTTAAAGTTTCTATTAGATCTTATTTAATTATCCTTTTATTTCGTTTCTTTATTTAGGACAGATTTTTTTGAGAAGTGGTTTAAAACGTTGCCCTCTGCTGGCCATCTTTGTGATTGACAGAGACATCAAATTTGCGCTTTTCCATTCATTCTATATCATAAGTATCCGAAATTACTCCCAGATGCTAATTTTGAGTTTTATAACTTTGTCTGAAACCTTCTGTCGGGGTTTCTTCTTGTCAGTTTGCCTCTGAGTGAAACTGTATATTCTTATTTTTATCTCACTGCAGCTGTTAAAAAGCACCGACTTATTCCAGCCTGCAGATAAACGTTCCCTCTGACTGTCTGTGTGGCATTTTATCTCCTCTTGAATAATGGAAATGTGCTGCTGTGAAGATTTAGATGCTTTTTAAACGTAGATCTCAAACTACTCTATTCTAATTCTAGTTGCCAATCAAGTTCATTTTCCCCTCCGTGCCATTTTAACATAAAATAATGAGTTTTGGAAGAATTCCAACTTTTCTACAGCAGATAAAATGTCATGCAACTCAACAGTTTTACAAATTTTGCGTGCTGAATGACAGAATGTCACTCCCATCCATCTACGCTAGATGAGAGAGGCTGATATAAGAGCAGGTTGACCTGCCTCCAGCCCTGATGAAGCATCAGCGTGTGTGATGGTGTTGCATCGGGGCGTGACTTTGTTGACAAAAGTCTCTGACAAGCAGTGGGGTCATGAAAAAGCCACGTGAGTAAAAAAAGAAAGGAAAAGGTTTGTGAAAACGTATCTGATTGAACCTTTTCCTCCTGTGAAGACATGCACCCCGTAAATGATGTGAAACATTCTTAAAGGTGCCCCTACTTGTGCACCCCGGGCTGAGTGACAGTTTTGAAGAACTGAGACAGATTTATAGCTCATGCAGAGCACCTCTAAAAGCTTGGAGAGGCTTTTGGAATGAGGGGATCATGTTTCCTGCTTTTCATGCAGAACCATGGAGGTACATTTGTTGTCTTTCCACTCTGGACTGAAAGTCTAAATGGATCAGGATTTGACCTTTACCCTTTTGTTTTCTAGCAACAGTTGACGTTTCAAAACAGAAAACCTTAAACATTTTTGTGTTATTTTTCATTCTATTATTAAGAACCATGCGGGTGATTTGTTAGTTTCTGTGATTTTTTTTATGTTTAATAAGGATTTCTTTTCCATTTGAAACTCCCGTCAAACACAAGGATCCAGTCAAAACAGTGGACCGTAATGATGAACCACCAAGAACGTAGCTTATGTTAAAACGATTAGGAGAGCGAAATAAATGAGCCACAAGCCACAAAGCTTGAGAAAGATTGGTTAAAATTCTCTTACGTACTAAACCTTCGGAAAGCTTTCCCAGAAGAGTTGAGGTAGTAGCTGCAGAGGGTAGACCAACTCCATTTTAAATGTCTTGTTCACTGAAAATGTAATACGTGTTCTTTTTGAAATAAAATCTGGTTGCATATGCATGTTGAAAAAACTTCAGCCCCTATCACCTGCATTAGCTGCAGAAAGGAAATAAATTCAGGTAAAAATGAGCCAGTCCCTTCTACGTCACAGTGACACCTAACATTTATGGCCCCGCCCACCTCGGCTTGTGACCACTAAAGGTTATTGATTTAGTGGCCAGGAGAGAGCAGAGCACATCTTGGCTAGTAGAAGCTAACTGTTAGCATTAGCAACTCCACAACATGGTAAACTTGTTTACACCATTTATAAAGAAAAAGCATTTTACAGTAATCTGAGTTTTTTTATCAAAAGCAGCTGAAGAGCCACATCGCTGTTAGCCAATCAGAGGTGAGACATTTGCATATCAAGAATATTAACCCTTTGATGCATGAATTATGAAATCCTCAACCATGATTTTTTAAACAATTTTTTTCATTCAGCTTTAGGTGTGAATGAAACAAATTTCAACAAATATTTTTTGTAACATTTTGTTAATTTACAAATAATTAATTACATGTCCACCTCAGTGGACAGCGTGTATTCTGAACATGAAATATGGTGGCTTGACTTGCTGAAGCCCAAATGGAGGGGCTCAAATGCAATAAAGTCTTCAACAGCTGCGCTTAATAGCAAAAATGAATAAATATCAATTTTGAGTACCTGTCCACTGTAGTGACCGTTATGCATCAAAGGGTTAAGACTCGTAATCCTGTAATTGTCCGTAGCTGGCCCATAGGGGGTGCTGCCCTGTCAGATGTGGTGGGGAACAATTACATCATCATTATTAATTAGGGATTCTCGATAACGGCTTTTTTTACTGATATCCGATATTGTGTAACTCTTAATTTAAAACACCAATATAAATCAATTTCAATATATGCAGGGTCCCTCCTAAAAAAAAACGAAAAAAAAAGTTTACACATTTTTGATCATTGTGTCAGTTTACTTAATATTGTATGCCTTTATGCAATCTGAATTATTTGAACTGACCCTCATTCAACAGTGAATTTCTCCCAAAGGACTCTCTTTCTCTTAAGCACCCCTCAAATGCAGCTAAATAACCAATCAAGTATGGTTGCTAGGGAAAAATAATAAATATTTGGCCGATCAGCATAGCAGAATTTAACATTTCTATGGGCCTGGAAATTTCACTCCTGTTGGTGTGAATAGAAAATGCAATTAATTTCACCAAAGCTGACTGACAGTGACTGTTTTTGAAGCTGGTGTGCATGAAGTTGCTCTCCAGTTAACCTCATACTGAGTTAAGAAATCCATAACACCTGTCACGGCTATATAAGCACAGTAGAGTCTGTTTTGTGAAGGTCTGTAGTTCTTGAGTTAAAATAATGATTTCAATTTGTTAAATTGCCAATGAAAACACACTTCTGGCAATATCTGCAAAGACGTGGGAAAACGAATTGAGCAAAAGCACACGTCTGACAAATGAGATGTCTCATTTGATCTATTGTCATCATCATGAAGTGATGTACTAAAGTTCAGCTTGCATTTTCCCAACCAATCACTTTCAGTCTGTGCTGTTTGTGGAACGCGAAGCTGCGAGTCACATGGGCAGATATAGATCTGAGAGCAGATTCAGGAGAAAG